AAACACAAAATGTCTAACAAGAAAGGAATGGCAGCCGGGTGCAGTGGCTCACTCAGGAGGCTGAGGTGGGAGGATCAATTGAGCCCAGGAGTTTGAGGCTGCAGGGAGCTGTGGCTGTGGCATTAGACCTCAGCCTGTGTGATACAGCAAGACCCTCTCCTCCCAATACATAAATATATAAAAAAGAGAAGGGAATGCTCAAGTCTATTATGGCATATTTTTGTGATAAAGCCATTGAAAGGTTTTTGAGGGGTCATATTGAAGAGCCTCATGCTCTAATGCTGAGAGCAAGTCTAGACTGTGAGCCACGCACTGACAGCAGGCCTCCTTCGCTGGTCTTTCTACAGCCTCACCCTAGAAAACCTCATTGATTTCCATGGCTTCACTGGGTTGCTTCATACATAAAGCCAATGATTCCAGGTATCCATTTCCGGTACTGATCTGTCTTCTGAGCCCTAGTCTTGTAGGTCCAATTACTTTTCAAAATCATGTCCACTTGGATGTCTCAAAAGCATCTCAAACTTCATTTGCCCAGAATGGAATTCTGGATTCTCTTCGCCACAAATAAAACATACACAAGAACTAATCTTCACACCAAACTTTTCTGCCCCAGGGAATGGATAATCATCCACCCAGCTGTTTAACACATCTTAGGAGCTACTCTTGTTGACTTCACGTGCCCCACCCTCAGCTGGTCCTGCGGACCCTCCCTCAGACACACAGTTCTAATTCAAGTCTCTCTCCATTTCCACTGCCACCATGCTTGTCTAGATCACCATCATCAGCCGCCCCGTACGTGATTTCTCTACTTTCATTCTTTCTCCTCTCCCACTGACTCTGCACACAGCAGCAAGAGTAGTCACTCAAAACTGCAAGCTGAATCTCTGCACTCCTTTGCTCAAAACGGCTCAATAGCTTCCCAATGCACTTCAAGCAAAATTCAAATGCGTCCCATGGCCTTGAAGACCCAGCACGATCTGATTCCTGCTGACCCCTCTGACCTGGTCTCATGATGTTCTACCCGGCCACCCTCCTGGTCCCCGACCAGGTGAAGCTTTTCCAATTTCTGGGCCTCTGCACTTGCTGCTGCCTCTTCCAGAACACCTCTCTGATACACTGCTGCAGCTTTTCAACCTTCTGGCCTTTGCTCAGAAAGAACATCCCAGTTACCATCGACTTGCCTATTTTCTTCATGGCATTTACTACAAGATGCAATGCTCTTGTGTTGTGTATTTGTTCACTTATTAATAACTTTCTGTCACCCTCGCCAGAAGATAATCTTTATGAGAGCAAGGACCGTGTCTGCCTTGTTCACTGTTGTATCCCCAGTGTGTGGTACAGTCCTTGAGGGGGAAACTTAGGCTCCGAATGGTTAAGCAGCTTGCTCAAGGCCACAGCTGGCAAGTGAAGTTGAGATGTGAACCTGGGCTTTTCTCATTGCAAGGCTGTGTTCTTACCATAGCACTCTCCTTGCTCCATGTCTGACATGGTTGGGATTTGTGTCCCTGCCTAAATTTCATGTCAAACTGTAATCCCCAACGCTGAAGGTGGGGGCCTGGCGGGAGGTGACTGCATCGTGTATGTGGATTTCACCTTTGCTGTTCTCATGAGATCTGGTTGTTTAAAAGTTTGTAGTACCCCCCGCAACACACCTTCACTCTCCTCCTCCTGCTCCAGCCACATAAGACCTGCCTGCTTCCCCTTCTGTCATGATTCTAAGTCCCAGCCATACTTCCTGGATAGTCTGCAGAGCCATGAGCCAATTAAACCTCTTTTCTTTATAAATTACACAGCCTAAGGTAGCTCTGTACAGCAGTGGGAGAACACACTAACACAATGGCCGCAGCCACAGTCCGGGCATTTCCGCTGCATTCATTTTCCACTCTTCCGGGAAAAGCAGCTGTTTTTTCCATTCACTCTCTTCCAATTCACTACACCAATCAATTGCTAAGCATTTATTGCTGTGAGACCTTGGGCAGAACCTCTGTGACTCAACCTCCTCATTCATATAATGGGATTAATACCAGGACTGAGCACTTCACACGTAATCATTTGCTTGTGCTCTCCTATGCGCTGAAAAGGCTGGTGGTGTTATGAGCCCCATTTTCAGTGGGGCTGATAATGAGAAAATGAGACAGCCAGAGCTTATAGAATCTGCCCATGGTTACGGAGGACAAAGAGCAGGGACTGGAACCCAGGAATTCCAGCTTCAGAGCTGATATTCTTGGCCAATACACTTTATAAAGTAGCGGAAAAACTAAATCCATATTATAAAGATTACATAAGCCCTTGCTTCAGTGATGTAAGATACACATAGAAATTTGTAAGTAAATGAATGTTGTTTAAACAAAACGAAGCATTTAATTTAATACAACGTTTCTAATTTAAGGAAGAATAAATAATTAGGGAAAACCCCGAAAATTAATTTCCACTGACAGGAAGTCTCTGGTTTCGATGAGGAAAGTCTGGTAGATGTGTTAATACCAAAACCACTGTTCACAGCAAAAGCTTAAACATTCATGTATACTGTGAATGGTGAATCAAATTCATATTGTAAAGTATCACATATTTGACTTCAAAGTCTAAATAAATATATAAAATTTGTAGGAAAGAGGAAAACAGATATAGTGTCATGCAAATACATTTTTAAAAATCTAAATTTTTAAAACAAGTTTTTTTATTGATTTCATATGGACAAACCAATACAGCTAAAATGATCAGAACCTTGGACAGCACTGAGGGGGGCGGGATTTTGTTTTTCCCCCCCAAAGGCTTGGTTTTATATTAGATCTTAAATGATAAAAGTTTTTCCTCACCTTTTCTGCATTTAAAATTCTGCCTCAATTCTACTGCTTTACATGTGAAGCACTTATGTGTAGAACTCACTGATGATAGATTTTTTTAAAAAAAATTTTCTTCCTGCAAAGATTGGCATTTTTGTTCTAACATCTTGGTTTATTCATTCAAGAATAGAAATTAAAGGACAGTAAAAAAATCATTTAAGGTCTGGTACAGTGGCTCATACCTGTAATCCCAGCACTTTGGGAGGTTGAAGTGGGAGGATCACCAGGTCAGGAGTTTGAGACCAGCCTGACCAACATGGAGAAACCCCGTCTCTACTAAAAATACAAAAGTTGGCCAGGCATGATGGTGCACCCCTGTAATCCAAGCTATTCAGGAGGCTGAGGCAGGAGAATTGCCTGAACTTGGGAGGCGGAGGTTGCAGTGAACTGGGATTGCTCCACTGCCCTCCAGCTTGGGCGACAGAGCAAGATGAAAAAAAGAAAAGAAAAGAAAGGAAGGAATGAAAGAAAAAGAAAAGAAAGGAAAGGAAAGGACAGGAAAAGAAGAAAGAAAAGAGAAAGAAAGGGAAAGGAAAGAAAGGAAGGAAGAAAAGGAAAGAAAGGAAGGGAAAAAGAAGGAAAGAAAGCAAGGGAAGCATTGAAATAACATTTAAATGCCATTTATTCTCAGGACAGCACATGAATGACTTCAAAAGAGAATGGACATAAGATGAACATATAAAAAAACATTAATTTTTGATTTAAAGACTTACTAATTAGGAGCCCAAATCATGTCACTTTTTCTATATGCTATTTTACAAAGGACATGTTTTAGCAGTTTCCAAAGCCCTGTGCTTGGATTGTGAAGTCACCGAGTGAAAAAATGCATCTCAATATTAGCTCCTAAAAACAAAAACAGAATCATGCCTTAGTATGAACAGACCCTGACAGTTCAGTAAGCGGCCCTTGAATTCTGCGGGGCACTGGTTCCAGGGGCCTCCCTCAGATGCCAAAAGCCATGGATGCTCAAGCCTCTGATATAAAACTGCACAGTATTTGCATGTAACCTACCTGCATCCTCCCACATACTTTAAATCATCTCCAGATTACCTGTAACACCTAATACGATCTAAATGCTATGGAAATCGTTTTTACATTGTATTTTAAAATTTGTACTATTTTTTGGACTTGTACTGCTACTTTATTTTTCCTATTTTCGATCCCTAGTTGGTTCAGTCTGTGGACACAGAACCTGTGGATACAGAGAGCTAACTGTTTTAAGATTGCATAAACAAGTATTTTTGAAATCTTCAGGTCCATTGTTAAGGTATTAAAAAATAATCACTGCAAATACTTGGACTCAATATCAAGCAGAGAAGCCTTTCCCTCTATCTTTTAAAGTGAAGCCAGCTAAAAGCTTTGTCAGCTTGCTCTTGAAAGCAATAATATGGTCACAAAACTTGCTGTGACCATTCTGCCTCTTTACAAATTTTGTAAAGCTGGCCTGCTTTTTTCTTCCTTCTAAATGCCTGATTGAGGTGGTGATTAATCCTCTATAGCATGTAAAACAAGGTTCTCAGAAGCTCCGAGTCCACGGTAGAGGACAGGGAAGCTGTTGTGTTCAAGAATTAATCCATCCGAGGGAATCAAAGGCAGCCACAATGCAGTCATCAGCATGTTTTCACTATGCAGGCCCCACACTTCCTACTTAGAAAACACATAACCATTGCCCCATTCTGTATTCTCACAAGGCTCCCTTTTATTTATTTGTGTTTGTTATTATATAGCTCATACCGACATGTTTGTGTGATTCCACTGGTGTGCACACAGCCATTGAGACAGGAAAAAAAAAGTGTCTATTGCAAACTTGTTAAAAGGGAAAAGGGACTCCCACTGTTTTTTCTCTTTGGCCAGGCTTCTATCGAGAGGATAGAGCTTTAACTCTTCATGTCCCAGGGGAGAATGACTCCTTTGTGTAATTTTAAATTTTGCAATGGCTTGTTTACTGATGGGAAGTCATAAATACCAAATGTTATTCATAGATTGCTACAACCCTAGAAGCTGATGTGTCTTCAGAGTTACACAGAGGACATGAGACAGACAGCACGTGGGAAAACCGTCCTTTCTTTCTCAACGGGCTTCAGCTGTCTTTACATGTCAGTTTTAAGCCTCCAGAGTCAGCGGCACTTTATATGGGAGCAATCAGTACTTCTGTAAAACTTTTCGATGGGTTTTTATTGTTTTTCTTCTGGAAGGTTCAACATGAATTGGGCAGAGATATACAGCATAACCATAGTTTAGTGATACGGTTGTCACATTAGACCTTTTGTTGATTATATGAACAATCTGGATTAAGCTACTCCAAGGTTCATTTAATCAGTCCTCCCTCTCATAGAGCAGATAGCTAGACAGACAGAGAAGACAGGTAGATGTCAAATAAATGCCCGCTCTCTAAAAGTACTTCTCCAATTCCAGTGAAGACTCAGCTACAACCGAGTGGCACCTTTATGAGACTGATGATTTTAAAATCAAAGAAGATGGAAATGTACGTTAAATGCTGTGGCACTGGACCAGAGCGGAACATAAGCTGTTCCTTCCCCCATGACAGAGGCATGAAGCTGGGGAAAACGCAGGCATTCACCTTGACACGGAATGGGTCTTGGGAATGTCTACTTCTGGGACGAACTGGAACAAGAAGGGTTAAATGCCCACATGTTCTCTCACCAGCCTTGCTCCCTGCCACATTCCAAAGGGATAGGGCTCAGTGACAAGACAGCCCAGTACCTAAAATGAAGAGGGAGGGTTCTCGAATTAATTAACTGGAAATGAGTCTTGTCAATGTTTTGGAAAGGCAGAGGGGTGAAAAGAGATTGCTAGAATTAATCACAGTGAGAAACTAATTCAACTGCCTGCCAGCGTTCAGGAAACCCGATGAGAAGAGGAATATAAAGGATGATGCTGACTTGCCGTCTGAAGAGACACACAGAGTCCAAGCAGACATCCAAGTGTTTTCAAAGGGATTGCCCTCCAAGAGACTGGTTTATTATCTGCTGTCGCAGGAAGGTACAATATATTACTTAAATGCACATTCTATCCAGGGGGACAAAGGCAAACCACGCAGTTACATGAAAGCGAAGAAACAAGAGACCGCTTAATGACTTTCACTTTTAGCTTATACACATTAAATTCTACTACCTAAAAGATTCATAAGTTCCCAAATTTGTACTTATACATCTTCAAACACTTGCGATTTCACATACTGCAGAAGATGAAAAATCCATGAAACAGACCCCAAAAATTCGAGTATTTGAATGCAGTTCATTCACTAAGAAGAAAAAAAGAAACAAAATCACAGATGTAACAAATCTACTCAGAAGATTCATCAGAAAAAGCGGGGAAAACCCAGAACTTTGGTCAGTGATCATAAATAAGAGAAACCTGAAACAATTCATGCACTATCATTCAAGGAGTTTTCTGTTTTTAAAACTACAGTGAACGTTAAGTGTCTTCTCCAAAGAAAATCTAATTCCTATGAATAACTTGCTTTTAGATGACGTATAAATTTTGATATGCTTTTTATATTTTGCACCTAGGATGAGTTAAAAATTTTATCTCTTTTAAGAAAATGGCAGCATACAGCCAGAACAAAAAATTGTTCACAGCTGTATTTAGGACTTTCCTTGGTAAATCACTTTAGAAGGCACAATTCTCCCACCCATATTCTTACAAAAAGCCTCCTGCTTGAGGCAATGGGGAAGTGGGAACAGCTTTCTACAAACCAAAGGGGAAGGACAGTTCCCTTGAAGGTACTTACTGGCTTAGGGGTGTCTCTAGTAGATTTCAGGATCAGCTTTTCGCCCTTCTTTTCAACTTCAAAACCCATTTGTTTAAGGAGGGATGGGTCTGCCAGCCCCTGCTCCTCCATCTTCGCAATCACATCTTGGTTTTGGCTGTTGTCTTCGGTAAGGTTTCGGATGGCATATATCACCCACTGGGTCAGAACTGCAGCCAGAGTGAAGGAATTTGCCAACATACTTTCCTGTTTGATAACTTCACATAAGATTATCAGGAAAAAGGAGTAGAGGAGCACAGACACACAGAAAATCCAGTATCAATGAACAAGTTTTTCTTGAGGATGCATTCTCTGAATATGCATCTAAAGTGCAAACACACCCAAAAGCGGCAACACATGCATATGCACATATACATCCAGCATGTATGTGTGATGTCCAGCCACTGGCACCCAGAGATTTACTCAGTATTTGCTGAATGAATGAACAAGGAGCAAAGACTTAGAGTAGCTCAAACTGAAGTTTATGAACCCAGGAACACACACAGGCAAACGTGCATGCGTGCACACACACATTCCTTTGTTGAATAATTATGTTACTGACTCACAGGGAAAGAATAAGAGAAGCACTAAAGAATCAGTCACAAAGATGTCAGGTTAGAATCAGGGAAGCCATCATCCTGTCTAATATAAAGAAGAATTGTTTCCTAGGAGTCTCTGTGGAATTTCCCGCATTCAGGATTCTAAAGATGAAGCTGGAAGGCCTTTGAAGGATTTGCTGTGTTTGGTTTGAATACTCAGGCTCCTGAAAGCATCGGGGCTCACTGTGCCCAGGCGCTCACCTGGCACGTTCCACTTGGCAGGAGACCAGAGACACCTACAAAGACTGAGCTAGCAATGCCACATTACTGACCAGGACGTCTGATTTAGTCACCAAGCGCTGTGTAAGCCTCATGCAGGCATTCAACTGCTACTCTTTGCAGCTGTATGAAGGACTGTACAAAAATGACCGCAGGGCCAGTCTTCAGCGGTTGGATGCAGGGACATATATAGGAGACAGCCAAGGAAGGATGTGTCCCTACCGGGCCTGGCACCCTGATCCGGGGGAACAACAAAAACCCGAGGGTGGAATAAAGACTTTTCCAAAGAAAGAGGCCTCCCCGCCCATGAGCAGATGGAGGCATCAAGACAAACGAGTCCTGTCCCCTGAGGATTACCAGATGCTTCCCATTCTTGCAGTGCCAATGCCAGAAGCGGGGGTGTCAGTGTCCCCTACAGCTAAAGAGCGAAGCCTTCTGATCCAGACCTGGACACCCCTGTGTGATGCTGTGGACCAGTTCTGAGACATTTCTAGCTCCCCCAACACGGCACGGGAGCACAGGGAGCACTTCGACAATCACAAAGCCGGTGCTCTTTCTTGTAGTATCTGGGAAAGCAAATGAGCCCAACAGTTTCTCTCCCTACTTCAACAGCCTCAAAAGAAAACAGTAAAAATCACTGTCCACTGAAGTCAGACAATGGAAACGTACTAAATATGGGCAGTTGTATGCTCAGGAAGTGTTTTCTGGGCTTTAAAAAGGTTACTCCATCTTAGTCCCTCCAGTACTCACCTGGTGAGCTGGCAATCCTGACAAGCCCGCTTGACTCCCCATGGGCCTCAGGATCCTCTCTGCTTCCCCACTCAGAGCACTTAGGCTCCCAGCCTGCGTCTCCCAGCTCCTGCACCGGAGACAGAACCTATTCCAATATTCAAATGCATAAAACCCAAATTTGAATGACCCCCTCTTTCCCACAATCACTGAACCCCCACTTTGTGCCAGAATAGAGAATAAAGATAATGAGCCCAGGTATCAAGCACTCCCAACACATTCATGAATTTCTCAACAATGAATTATTTGCTGCAATGAATTTCACACCCAGGATGACACTGTCAATATACAAATTCATTTTCTCACTTTTTATAGGAAAAAGAGGCAGTGATTATGAGGAGAACTGACTCAAGGAGCAAGAAATGTGTAAGACTGGGGAATTTTTGTTCGTAAGTATAACTCTCTAATGGTAAATGAAAGCAGCACAACATTTCTTGTATCTGAAAAGTCCTGGTTATTCACTTAAATATAATTAAAGTAGGAAAGCTGAAATTCCCAAGAATGCATTCAGAGCTCCTGAGATCAGAGGGGTGGCTGGCTCAGAAACTGAAGAGTCTGGTGCCAGCACCGTCACTGCCAGCAGCAAACACAGGATGTCTCTGAAGGAAAGGGACTGTGGAAGTGCTCCACTCCAGGGCACACACACGAGACCCTGCCAGACAGCCACTACCAACCTCTCCTGCCAGGCACCCTCACCCCTCAGGCTCTGGCAGTGTCGCAATGCTGGCCTCACCTCTTTGCACACACAAATCCCTGACCTGGGATGTGCTTCCCCTCACTGCTGCTTCCTTTCTCATGGGGCACACTTAGCCTTCGAGACTCAGCCAAGCATTACCGAAAGCCAGAAGCCTTCCCTGTCTTAGCTACCCCTTGACATCTGCTTTAATTAGGTGCACCTGCTGTATGTTTCCAAAGCATTCTCTCTCTCAACAGTTCTCATCACACTGCACTATATTTACTTGTTTCTGAGTCTGTGAGCTCCTTGAGGGCAGGAGCCCCATCTAATTGACCTCTGTATCCTAGCAGCGAGTCTAGTTCCCAGCACAAAGTGGATCTTCAATACACATTTGTTGAAATTGTGTCTCCAGGCCGGGCGCGGTGGCTCATGCCTGTAATCCCAGCACTTTGGGAGGCCGAGGCGGGTGGATCACAAGGTCAAGAGATCGAGACCATCCTGGCCAACATGGTGAAGCCCTGTCTCTACTAAATACAAAATAAATTAGCCAGGCAAGGTGGCACATGCCTGTAATCCCAGCTACTTGGGAGGCTGAGACAGGAGAATCGTTGGAACCCAGGAGGCGGAGGTTGCTGTGAGCTGAGAATGCGCCACGGCACTCCAGCCTGGGCAACAAGAGCAAAACTCCGTCTCAAAAAAAAAAAAAAGAAATTGTGTCTTCAATGCCTAGGCTCAAGCAATCCTCTTGCCTCAGCCTCCTGAATAGCTGCGACTACAGCCACCGAGCCCAGCCTTATTGAAATTGTGTAAGCTATGACTGTCTGTATTTCTGTATGCCCTAATGCACTGTGAACCTCTTGCAACAAGACCAACAGTACTCACTTCTCTGGGCTCTGTCCCTAGCGTGGTGCCAGGAAATATTTGCTAAGTGCACAAATGCAAGCATGCGACCTCCCGCTCCCCACGGGGTGGGCCATGGCAGCACTGCAGCAACCCACAGGCTGTGTTTCTGCCTCCTGTTCTTGGTGTGCTTTCCCGACCCAGGGCTTTTCAGGGCTTGAGAGATTAGATGAAAGCAAACCAATATAAACGTAACCCAGGCAAGGAGGCTGGACTGGGCAAATAAAAGGTCAAAGACAACAAAACACCAGAGCGCCCACGTGGATGGGATCAGAGTGGATTTTAATCACGTTTGTCTCGGGGTTGCAGGCAACATTTCTGTCACATTTTGTGACAATACTGTTATCGTGGTACTTTAATAGCAAGCCCCACTCCCCCGAAGTGTCTGGTAGGTAATTTCTGTAGAATACAAACATACACAATGCCTACTTTATATATAAGGCGAAAGGAGCACTGAAGGAATGAGACTGGAGAAAAGCCCTTTTGGGAATGAAGGGCTGCCAGGTGACTCCCTCAAACAGGGGCACAGCTCACAGCTGGGGTGATGGGTCCTGCTCAGCTCCTGGCAGCCTCCGGCTCAGGAACAAAATGTGACAGTCAAGTATTTCACAAGGAGCAGATTCTTGGCGTAGCCACTGACCTGACAAACTAACAGAAAATGCATCAAAGCCCAAAGCAGAAAAAGCCTTTTTGTCTTCTTCCAAAATTAGTATCCAAAATGCAAAAACATGTAAGTCAAGGAAGTGTGAAAGGCTGAGAAGAAATATGGCCACAAGAGCACTCTGGAGTCAACTCCCTTTCAGTGCCTTGAAATTCAGAAATAACAACCATGCCAATAATAGCAAAGCTCAACACTTTTATTGAAACGTGCATTTAGCACTGTCAGGTATTTTAAGCGAAATCCGTCTTTCCTTTCTGTGTAAGGAGGACTTTATGAGGGGATCCCTATGCATTCTTCTTAGGCGGATGCGAACTTTGCCCCACTGCCACCTCGAAGTGAGCACCAACATTTTGGGGTTTGTGTTGTCTATCTATAAATCAAATACCACACAAACCTCCTCTAATCTGTTCCTATTTCCAGTGAGAACATTTTAGCAGGGCTGTCTTGGGTTTTGGACTTAATAACAATTACAAAATCAATTGTTCATAGTTGTTTCTTTCACTACATTTGAGTTGAAAATAAAAGCCTTATAAACTATAGCCCTAGGAACCGTGTCTGGTCCGCAGCCCTGGGTCATGAATATGCATGCCTCTCCTTGTTAGGAGTGCAGCCTCTGCAGACCTAGACAGTCTGAAGTGTCACGGGAGAGATTAAAGCAAGTCTCAGTTAATATTCACATTGCCCTCTTGTTCCCTCTCTAAAGGGACGGAGAGAAAGAAAGCGTAGGGGAGAAAATTAAACATCTTCTAAAGTCTCTAATCCTACCAACATCTGAAGTGCTTTATTGTCTGCTTAGCTTTAAAAAGAGCTTCTAACGTTTCCATAGCTACTACAAATAGAAGGCATGAGCCTGTTTGTTGCAAAACTGCCTTGAAAGAACCCTGCAATCAGCACTAGAGCGGGACTTAATAGTGCTGGCCAGCTCTTCAGCAGGGAACTCTGGGGTCTTGACCCAGGCCACCAAGACCACAGTGGCAGGAAAGCACCTTGTACTGCTGAATGGCCAAGGCAGCACTGCACTGGGCCTCAGCTGGTTCAACACAGGGCTCAGCACCGAACTGGGTGGCCTTGTACCAGCAAGGTGAACAGATATTAGCAGGGGAGAAGAACACGGGCTGGGAAACCACGTGATTCAGAAAAACAAACCACGGTGAGGGTATTAACGACTGGCAGATCGACGTGCCAAGCTCACTTTTAAAGTACCGTCAGGGGAGCCGAAATGTTAAACTGGAATTTGATGAGACAGATTCCAACAGACTAAACTCTTCTTCCAGCTACTGAAATCTGTGCTACCCAAAGTCCTGTACGTCATTAAATGTAGGCCCC